AGGTTAACACAGTCAAGAATTGTTCATTTTTTGAAAGCTCCGATTAGTTTAACTTTATCAAAGGAAACATGAAGATAAATGGTCAATTACCAGTTTGGTGTGTTGTAGTGGGTCTAGGTAATAGGTGCTTTCGCTGAGTAACATCAAACATGAATATCTAAGCAGTTTAGAAACCACAATTTCTTTGTCCTTGAGTGACTCTGCAGACAGCTGGAAGTGGGCAAAGAAGTAAATTACTGCATTCTGACCTTAGGCACCTGACTAGGCCAATAAAAATAGTAATTTTAGTTGTCTAAAGCCTTGGAGAGAAAGGAACATCATTCTTTGGAAAGCATCATACTAAGACGCGCATGTTGTGCCTCCACTGTGGCTCTGCGACCTACCACCTTCAGAAGTCAACCTGGGAAAAATGGGGCTGTCCTGCCAAGAGCAAGTACAACTGGAGTGCCCAGGCTAAGAGATGAAACACTAGTCTATCGCAGCTCAGACAGGGATTCCACAAAGGTACAACTTCGAAAGCCAAGAAGGCAGCCGTTGCAGCATGCAGTTCATCTTGAGGATTTCAATCAGTCATAAAATAGTGTTTTGTTGACAGCATGATGGTAAGCTGTCTCCAGGTATCACTTGGTGTCCTTTGCTTCCACTGCCATCTGTGTTTCCTGTCTACTTTATACCACATTCCTTAGAACTGTGCACACTGTCAGATTACCAAATTGATATGCTAAGATCCTTATGTTTAGGTAACTGATCCCCGCCACTGGTGTTTATCCTTCAGCTCTCCTAATTTCCTCTACACTTCTTTTTGTTCAATATTGATAAATGATGTGTTTCCAGCTGCTCCTGCTTGTCCTTGTTGCAGGTACAACATGTGACACTAGATATGTGTCTGTTAGTAAGACTGTTTTTTTCTGTTTGTGAGACAGGATCTTACTTCGTACATCTGGCTGGTTTTGCATTGGTCCCAATCCTCCTGCCTCAGCTTTCAAATACTCAGATTCCAAGACTGAGCCACCATGCCTGGCTTGTTATTAAAAACCTGATTTTTCTCCCCTCTGAGTTTTTAATGGTAATTCTTAACTTTTATATTTAGCCTTTCTGAATAATTTTATAATATCTTCCATACAACATTGAGTTTTGATTCCACTTTTTAAGTGGTAAATTCTCTTGTTGTTGTTATGTATGACACATGCTTGATATGCATGTGTGAGCATGCTTTTTCTGAAGCCAGAGGAGGATGTTCGGTCTTATCCTCCATTCTCTTCTGCCTTTTCCCCTTGAGACCGGGTCTCTTACAGAATCTGAAACTCACCCATTCAGGCAGGTTGGCTAACCAGGGGTCTCTGTGGAGTCTGATTGTCTCTGTTCTCTAATACTTGGGTATGCCTGGCCACTGAGTGAGGCCTGGGGATTCGAACTCAGGTCTTCAGGCTTGCACAGCAAGTGTTTTTACCCACTTACCCCTACAATCGTATTTCCCTTATTTGTTGTTTACCTGAATTACATTGATATGTTACTTTTAGACTTAAGTTTTTGTTAGACTCCTAGCTCTTGAACTGTTTTTTTTGGAAACATTTCTTACAAGAAATGGTATATTTGTTACTGCTATGTCTCACATTATTTACACTTTTAAAAACCTTTTATTGGTTCTCTGTGAATATCACATCATGGACTCCAATTCCAATCATCTCCCCCCTCCTCATACCTGCCCCCTCCCACACTGCTGCAACCTCCCCTACAACAAAGGAAAAAAAATCTCATTGTGGAAGCTATAGTGTGTCAGTGTGCTACAGTGTTTTCTTTTGTCAACACTTCAATTGATTTTTTTTTTCAATTACTCATTGGTCTGGTACAAGGCCTCTGGCTTCTGCTACTCTATCAATACTGGATGCTCACCGGGGACTCCTCTCAAGATATCTTGTTGCCCTGTGTCATGGAGATCCTGTAGTTTTGGATCTGTAGACCTGGCCCCTCTATGCACTCCAGCAGTTCATCGGTGGAGTAGATGTTGGGGTGGGCCAGTTCAAAGCCCTGGATCTGGGCTTGAGAGGTATCAGAGATGGTCAGCTTGCCAGTTCTCATGTTCTCAGCACCCTTGAAGCCGGCTCCCCTGCAATCCCTGAAACCAGGGCTGGCTCTACCTTGCTGCCTACGTGAGGTGCAGGGCCTGCTCTCTGTCATGTTGCAGACAGTGATGGACATGGCCAGTTCTTCCACTCTCATAACCCCTTGCCAGCTCTCCCATCTACCATAGTTGGTGAGGAATGAGGGAAGAGGGTGTCTCTCTGTCTACACCACTGCCCAGAAAACAAGAGGCAGGACCAGCTCTCCCACACTCATGCCCTTAGGGGCGGCTCACCCACACCCCCCACACATCCTGGGTCAGCTTGCAGCAGTTGAGTGGCAGGGCCAGCTCCCCCCTGCCTGCCAGTGGTGGTGAGGACAAAAGAGAGGAGGAGATATCACCAATGCTAAGGCATGGCAGACAAGAGGCAGAGCTGCTAGTTCTTGAACTCTTAAAAAAATATTTATTTAATGGGTAGTTTTATTGTTTGCTATATTTCTTTTAATAATCAGGAAGATTTGTAGTTTTGTTCTTATAGTTGTGTCTGTGGAATATCATGATTGTATAACAGCCTGTTTTCTATTTATTCAGCCAGCATCTTAGCATCTGCAATTCACTTTTGTAAATAATCCAGAATTAGTTTATCCATTCTAGTCTCTCTCGGTGTTCACATCTGTATACAAGCACCATATACCTCTACTAATATTCAAAGCTGTCAAAATCATCACTGAGATTGTTATAACCTAGAGTTGCCGTAACATTTTTTTTTTAACTACTAAATGTGATATGCTGTGTAGGAAACTGATAGAGGAAAGATATTAGGGCCCATGTAAGTCAGAATTCTGTTGCAGCTGAGGAGCAAAGAGAGCACGGAAGAGGAAGGAATCCCAACATCCCTTTCAAGGGCTCACTCCTACCTTCTTTCCATAGGCCCCATCTCATGAGGGTTCCAGCACCTCTTATTGGGCTAGCAACTCTCCTCAATAAAGTTACAGTGACTGAGGAAGACAGGTGACGTCAACCTCTGGCTTACACAAGCATGCATACACATTTACAAGAAGTCAGGAAGGAAGGAGGGAGGGAGGGAGGGAGGGAGGGAGGGAGGGAGAAAGGGAGAGAGAGAGAGGGAGAGAGGGAAGTAAGAAGGCAGGTAGGCAGGCTGATTCAACAATACAAATCTGTAATCCCTGCCCTGGGGGTAGGGACAGAACTCTTGGAGCTTGCTAGCTACCTGGTCTAGCCAATCAGCTATAGATTCAGTTCGAGATCATCTCCCCTCCCCCCCAAAAATAATATAGATCAATTAAAAAGATACCTGACATGATCCTCTGGCTTCCATATATAGAGAGAGATGCACATGAACACAGACATAAAATGACTAAAATGCAGACTTCCAATGATGTCCCACTATTGGTTCATTGTGACAAAGGTAACATAAAACGTAAGACGAGTAAGAGAGCATGGGATATATGGGAATCCTGTAAACCTCAATCTGTACTAAAATGAAAGGCTATTAAAGAGAAAAGGGAACATGTCCTACTTGTGGCAGGGTAGCAAGTCAACAGAATGCACAGAACGGTGCTGTGGACCGGGAAACACGATCTCTGCTTTGACTTTAGGGACAGAGGCTCTCTTCTCTTTTCTCTAAGCTGTGTACCATGCCAGAGGCCCACGACTCCAGTTTAAGAACTCTCTTAATTCAGGGTGGCAGTGAGTCTCTGACAGCATCTTGGGAACAAATGTAAAGAGTAACAGTGGGGTACAAGTACAGCATGTACCCCTTCCCGACGGAGTGACTTCAAGCTGTATGCGTTCAACTGACTTTAAAAAGAGTTGAGGATTTTAAAACGGATTTTGAGTGATTCCTAAACCAACACAACTAGCAAACCCAGCCCCAGGCTCTGCATCTAATTGTTTCTAGTTTGCCAAGCTCTGGTCAATGTAAGCTGCTTGTGGGTGGTGGTTTCCCCATCTGCTTCAGAAGCAGCTGTTCAGCAACTCGCTTCCTGGGTTAGGGTCACAGTGCAGAGCTTGGCCTGTTTAGAACATGTGCTGTGCCTTTTCCTGCTTCCTAAATTCAGCCCTAAGGGACACCAATAAGAGCAGATACTAATGCCACATCAAAATCTGCTTAAGCCTCAGCTAAATTAAGGAACAAATGATATTTATACTTAGGTGAATAAAAAAGGCTTACTCATTGCTAAGACTCTCTCACACTCCAAACCCTAACTAACCAAGAAGCTATTTCCAACAGACAACACACAAAGGAAAAATTATTTTCTCTAAGAGTCTGAGTATACAAACCATACTCAAGGGCAAGCCCCATGCCTAGTAGTAGATGGTCAACTCAAAATGAATGCAACGGTACTTTGGGAGGTTTTGTTTTTTTTGGGTTGTTTTGTTTTGTCTGTCTCCTGATGTTTTGGCCATTTCCCCCCTCACTGGTCTTTTACTTACACAATTTTAGTTTCTTTGTGCTTTAGTGAGTTTTCTGTGTGCCTGGTGTGCATATGTGTGTGTGCTTTTACTTTTTTCCATTTTGTTCTATCCTGTTTTTGACTTTTATTTTTCCTGTTTGTTTTCTAAAGATGGAGATAAACAGGCTCAGAGTTAGAGAGATGGGAAGGATCTGGGAAATAAGGGAAAACTTACCAGAATATGTTATATGAAAAAAATTATGTTCAATTAAAAAAAAATTTACAGTTCCTAACACAGAACTCATTTTAAGGCAACAGAGTTGTCTGCTAAACTCTAATGGGCTCCAATGCTCAGGACGTAAAACACAAAGGGACAAATGTTTCCTGACCCTGAACAATGTTCTATATCCGGACGTCTCTCATTAAATACACTTATGACTGTAAGTTTGACACACATGTCAACATGGCTTGATGAGGTCATGACCCATGAGCCCAAATTAAAAACAAAAGCAGCAAGACCATTTTAGTGAAAATGACTTTTATTTTAAAATCAAGTGCACAGCACTCACCTAGCCCTGCTGTGTAGACTTAGCACCATACCCACTCTTTGTAGTTAGTCATAGTACAGGTATTTTGGTTCGCATTTTGTAGTTGAACAGTGTTTATTTAACGGACTTGGGTTAAGTCCTTTACACACATCATTAATCTTTTCACAGTACACATTTAATGATGGTCCAGTAATCTCAAAACAAAACAGAAAAAAAAAAACCTTTTAAGACTAATTAATAAATTAAACAAAACGAAACCCACACAGCACCCACCCCCACCCCCAGCTAACGGTTGTTGAGTTGAATTTATATTGAATCCTGCTGTTTTTAAAAATAGTCATGATTCTCCAGCCTCCCCATCCGGGTATGCAGCAATAGTCATCAATTATTTCACTCTACCCCCCAGAAAGGATTAATCCAGTGTTCTTTAGCTTTTTAAACATAAACTGGGATGTGTTAAAGAAGCTTTTTTAAAAAGGCAAATATTCTTTGACAACAAGAATGACACATAACCAATCAATAAAAGCACTGACAAGACATTACATTACCACAGGCACTGGCTGTTGTTTCAAGTTAGGATACTATCCCAATCTCTTACATTCATAGCATTACTGAGGTAGTTACAATACTGAACACTGACTCCATGTTGCTGGGCTCTATCTGTGAACGTGAAAGATACATTATCTTTTGAACCTACTTCCTCCTAATAATTCAAGTTTTCTTTAAGAATTATAAAACCAATTAGCAGCCTTTTGAAAGAGGAAAATCGATATGTTCCTACAACAGCTTCCAAGCTTGAAAACCGTCATGAGTGTTCTTACCTGAGTGGTTTTCATCACCAGACCAGTAAGTCCACACCATGCCTTATGTATGCTAAAGATACAAATTAGCTTTCTCTTAAGGAAAGAACATTCCTCTAAGAATTCCTGCTGGCAGAAGCTACCCACTGGCTTCTCCACCGGAGGGAGCTGCCCGTGTCAGTCCATCACGCTGAGGAGCCCTTCCCTTTCCAGCAAAGGCCACCAACTCCTGCTGCACACCCACCTCTTTACAGTGAGCTCGCGCCAACAGACACTGTGTCTCATAGCTGCCACAGTTTCCCTTCTGTTCAAGTGCTATCTTATAAAAACAAACACATCTTACTCATTTTAAACCAGAAAGCTTCCCTCCACCAGCTTTCTTCCTCCGTGGATAAGAGCACTACGCTCACAGTTTATCAGTTATTTTTTTACTTTTGAAGTTTGTCCTCCACACCTTCGACAGTATTTTACAGCTAGGTTGCCCTTGCTGTGACTATTATTGCGGTTTTCACTTACTACCAATACAATGACCTGTCCCCCGGCAGTTACACAGCCAACCACAGAGAGTGGCTACCGAAGTCAGTAGCCCTGCTTCCTTGACTTGCTGGATTCCAAGGGTGTTCACTGAACCACCCTCCCATAACAAAGTGCTGCGTTAGCCCAACCTGAGCACTGCCCTAGCCACCCTCAACTCCAGAACAATCCTATCTGACTCTACTCTAGCACTGACCCTTTATAGTATGCCTTCTCCTGAAAACTGTCTTAAAGAGCACCAGCCAATCTGAGTATGGGCCACTGACTGCACGGGTGATGCACAGCCTCTCCATGCATGAACTCAGGACCTACTTCATTTGTCCTGTGCTGATCTATTTTCATCCCAGCAGGAGCACCGCAGCCTATGTTACACAGGTAGTTCATGTCCTCACACTCCCAAGGCATGTTGGTTACAGCTAAGTGTTTCCAAGTACTACAGGTTCCCTGAGTTAAATGTGCTTAACCCTGAAGAATCGGGGCTGATCACTTAGGGGGAAAAGGTGGCAGACCAAAACAAAAATTATGACCATGATTTCAAGGTATGTATCTGCTTCGCCCCTAACTGTAGTATATAAATCCAGCACCTATATTTATGATATGAAGTTATATAAAATCATCTGGATTTTTTTTTAACTGCACAGATTAGTATACTTAGCAACTGGTGAGTTTGAATTTAGAAACCTACCAGTAGGTCAAAAAAACCTCTGAGCTGCAAGATTAAAACAATTCTTCAAAAATTAATACTGTAACTTCCTTCATAAAAGATGGTTTGGCAAGTCCACAGATAAACACTAAGTCTTTGACATATATGCCAGCATAAGGCCAAAGCCCGTCAGAGGTCAAATCAGAATGGCAAATTTTCTGCTGTATTGAGCATTTTGAAATATTTGGACCATCAGTCAAGAACTGGGACATTTCTGTCACATAGGATTTGACACATTTCAGTACCTGCTGAGTCCTCCTGGGGACTCATGGTACTGAAAGGGCTACGCAGTCTTCTGGTGCTGGCGCCTGTTGCTTTGTGGTGCTATTTGTATCCTTTCCTTCTGAAGAGGAGCACAAAAAGCTTGCTCCGGAGCTATCCATCTCAGACAGTCTGGATCACATATGACCTGCTGACATATGTCATCACCTCTCAAAGCATGGAGTAATACACGGGAAGTGTTCATTTATCTGGTAACTCCGATTATAAGAAACACTGAGGCAGGGTTTAACTTCTACTGGTATTGCCAGGGACATCCCAACACCAGTCTGCACGTGGCCAAGGCCCTGGACACTAGTCTGGAAGCCCGCAGGACAAGTCTGTAGTGTGTAGGACGAGGTGTGTGTGGTAGACACAATCTGCTGACGGCTTGGCTGTTCTGACACAGGGTGTCGATACTGCACAGAGGTCGGATGGAGATACTGAGGCTGCTGGAAGTGACCCGGCCGCGAGGGCTGTGCTGTCTGGAACACAGTCAGCTGTGCTGACTGAGGAGCCGACTGTCCCCTCTGCTTGTTTGCTTCTTTAACATCATTGTCATGAGCACTGAGACAAAAGAAAGGGAATAGTAACCACCTGGCAAGAACGCAGCGCCACCCGCTTCCCACCTCTGCCACTGTGCACTCCATGAACCACCACTGCTGCCACCACGGCCACTGTCACGTCAACAAGTCATACCTTCCCTGTATCCTTCTCAAGTGTTCATCTTGGTATGAACAGTGCTGGTGGCTTTGAGGACTCTTTACAACTAGGAATCTGAGGTCACGTCCTGGCAACCCTTAAACTGAGTGGTATGGAGACGGGAATGGAGTAAGATCGGCCTGGACAGCTCCTCGTCCTGCCAAGTACTGAGGGTCACACCAGTAACAGGGTCACAGGCAAAGGATGCTCCTTTACTGCGAGTGGAGCATGTTTGTTCCTAGCAGTGAGCAACTGACAGAAGTACCCTAAGATCCTCCAGCCTTTGAGAAGTAATTTTTAGGATACACTATACACAAAGGAAAATGCTAACTAGAAGTTATAAATGCAAGAGCAAAAAGGCTTACAGCAACAGCCGTTCAATACACTGCACTAGGAAGTCCCAGGAGTAAGCAGTGAGACGGTGCAGTCTCGTGGGCCATGTTGGAGACAGACGAAGGATAATCCTCGAAGAAGCCACACATGCAGCAGCTACTAAAGAAGGTGCATAATTTAGAAAGGCATAATCTGTGGAGACATCAAAAATGGACTTGAGCAACAGAATACATGAGTCACCATGCACAGTCACATGAGGTCATGCTCAGCCACTCACCTTGCAAAGATACTTCCAGGAAGTAATCTGCATATTTGGCCATGTAGAGTTTAGTCTTTTCTAAGCAAACCATTGGCCAGCCGTCATGAAGGTCTGTCTCATGGACTGCTTCAGAGAGGTAATACTCAATGAAGTGGGCGGCCGTGGGCAGGCAGAGGTTCCACTGAAAGGTCTCTAACAGTAACAGCTCCATGTGCAGCAGGCTCTGCTTTGTGAGCACGAGATTCATGTTAGTCATACAGCCCAGGCTGTTGAGCTGCTCCAGCTTAGGCACACTGTCTTCTTTTTCTTCAAATTTACCTTGTGAAGAGGAATGGAAAAATGTTAGCCAAGTGGTACTTGGAGGTCCTGCCGGCTAAACGGGATGTGCTAGCAGGGTAGGGATGTAAGAGCAGTCCCCTGTCTCACATAGATGTACTTGCACCAGAGTGCTCTTCTGTTCCATGTCATCTTCCTCCTTGTGTTTCCCCACTTTTAACCATTCTCTGAAAAAAATGTGCATACACTTGAACGGTGTCCTATGGCATATAGGAAATAGTCATATAAACTAACAAGGCCAGTTGATTTTTCTTTTTTTTTTTTTCCAGAAAAGCATCGTTTTTGTGGGCAGAGGGTAGTTGGAGAACACTATTTTAGAGTATCAAGAATTTAACATCAGAACTTTATTGGCAGAGTCTTGGCCACTAAGCTAGTAGTAGTTCTTAACTTCTGAAAACCAGTCAGGCCCAAGTATATTTAGTCTTGGCAAGTTTTTAGCATAATCTCAAGAGCAGAGAAAAAGAAACTATGGAAGAAAAACTGAGTAGATGCCTCTAATACAGGCACTGCTATTTCACAAATAAAAGCACAAAGAATAAACCTACCTCTATGTCTCCTTTCTGTAAGTTTACTTTTCAGCAAGGGAGAGGGGTTGGGTATGGCAGTGCATGCATACAACACACGCGCCTGTAATCACTTGGGAAGCTGACACGGAACAGGAAGTATGAGGCTGCAGATGGGAAATACAGCGAAAACCTGTCTCCAAAAGCTCAAAAGTTGGGCCACTGCGGTGGCTCAGTGGGTAGAGGTGCTCACTGTGCAAGCCTGGAACCGGAGAGCATCCCCAGAACCCCAAGGGTGGAAGCAGAGATCACACTTCACAAGGCTGTCCTCTGATCTCCACACAGCACATATACCCAAGTGCCTGCTTCCCTTCCCTCTCCTCTAATAATGTTTTAAAGTCAAGAGGGAGGGGGAGGGGAAGATTCTAATCCTCTTTTAAATCTCTTATGCAAAGCAGAAGAGTAGTGAAGGTCACACTGTAGGAGTTCAGTATCTGAAGCATCGACTTCTTAGAAAATACTCATCCGATGTTCCAACTACTCATGGCTGCGGAGTAAGATTTCCTTTTCACCCAAGAAAAACGTTTCTACAGATTATGAACAAACTTACGTTTATATTTCCAAACAAGCGTTCCTACACATAAAGCGTGCACTTGGGCACTTCTATGAGGTAGGCGTGTTTCTGGGTCGTGGTGTTCTCAGAAGAAGAGAGACTGGGATTAAAGCACACTCTCAGTACTGTGTTCTATTTTACATGGGAGTTTAAAAGTTATAATTACAGATTTCTCTCAAGGGATATCCTTGTTCAAAACTATTGTTAAAAAGTTATTTTCCAGAAGCACACATTATTATACATAAAATTGCTTTAATATCTTGATAATGATTTCAATATCATGTGCTTTCTTTGGTAATTTTAATCTACCCATTTATAAACATTTTATAGGGAAAAGTAAGAAAGTCTGCCAAAGCAAGGAAACTAACATTTCCTGGTGAAGGGTCTTGTCTTGAAGGGGTGGATTTGTAACACTGGTGAAAGCTGCTACCACAGATGGCAGAGGCCAGGGCCACTGAGCTGGCCAGTGTGCTGGCAGTGGGTAGCCTGAAGGGCTTTGCTCACACTGGCTCAACTTGGAGATGGAGAAAGTGCTGCCGCTTACCTAGGAGTTTGCTTAGGGAACAGAACAGGGCTAGAAAGATTTGTCCCTGATGCCAGGAGGCTCTAAGCTATTTTGAGAAAATCTTAAACCCAAAGAAGCAGGAGACAGCTACTCTTGCTCTAGAGAGATGGTCAATTTCTTTAAATCTAAACCACAACTGGGTCTTGAACAAGCTTTATACATACATGTTAAGCAACTGTTGTACAACTGAATTACACTGCTGACCCTTTTCGATTTTAATTTCAAACACTTTTTACATTGCCCAAGCTAGTCTGAGTATCTGAAATCCCAGATATACCCCACCCCGTCACCATCTCCAGCTCAAAACCACTCTAAATATTACTGCTGAGGGGCAAAACTTACATAATTCAGACTTTAAGAATCTAGATAGCCTTTCCCAGTTCAAGTCATGTCAGAATGGCATTTTACAACACCACAGTGGAGGGCTTCACATTATAGTGGGGCTCAGTACTGCCACTGAGCAGGAAAGGAAGTCACTGTGCCCTGAGTAATCACACAAAGCTCTGCAGAAGGAGAATGGTGCAGGTGTTTGTTCAGTCCCAGATGAGTCACTAAGGCTTTCAAGCACTTGGCCACTTGTGTAGCAGCAGTACTGGCTGCACACTTCAAAGAAATGTTATAAAAATTAATGAGTTTATTTATGTCATACTTTAAGTTGCTTTGAAAAAATTAATATACCATAATTCACCATAATTCAAGGATCAAGGGAGTTTCAAATTCTCCCTTTGAAACTTTCATCATCAAAAAATAAAAACTATTTATGGTCAATTTCAAGCTCAAGAAACCAAGACATTACATAAGGTCAGCCAGTTCACCCAGGGACAAGTAATAAGTTGGGTGGAACCAAAACTGAAGGCCAGAAGTATGACTTTTATATTCCCAAACCTGCATTTCTAAACCAAAACGTGATGCCAGACTATATGGGACAGCTATCAGGATGACAGACTTTATCTATGTTTAGAAATATTTAGCTGTAAATGTCAAGGAGTCTATATTCTGATTTTCAAACTTAAAAAAAAAGAATTGCATGGGGCTGGAGAGATGGACCCAGAAGTTTTAGGGAATTCAACACCCTCGTACAGACATACATAAAGGCAAAACACTAATGCACATAAAATAAAAATAAATCTTTTAAAAATAAAATAAACTAAAATAAACTCTATGCCAGGCACAGTGTATAGGCCTTTAATCCTAGTACTTGGGAGGCAGAAGCAGGTGGGTCTCTGTGAGTTTAAAGCCAGTTTGGTCTACCTAGGGGGTTTCACGTCAGCCAGCTATACAGTAAGACCCTGTGTAAAATAAATAAGTGACACGCTGCAGAGCAACCACACTTGGAATTCTAATTCAGTCTTAAGTTTTTGGAAACCTTTTCATTATGGCTAGTGGTACACACTCAACTACGTGAACGAGAACTTCACGAAGTGAGAAAACATAAATGAGCTGCATGTATTTGCACCTATCACTGTGTTAACTGCTCGGTGTCATTTAAATCTACTTGTTCATACACAGATCACAAAGATCAGGGGTTTTCTCACTTGAAAGGAAATACCAGAAGCCATATGACTATATTGATAAAGGACCCAAACAGGAAATGAGGATACAGGAAATTCATATCTGCTTCCCAGAAAATAAAGAATTAGAGTGCAGAAACCAAATACCTCGTTGTCTTTCCTTTGCAGGAAATGTACAGATCGGCCATGGGAACAACGTGTTTTCAAACACAGCAACAAATGATAGCTTCGAGGCATAGACGACTGGCACAGGGTGAGCAGGCAATGCTCTCTGGAGCCCAGCCAGTACTCTATCCCTTCATCACCAAATCAGAAAGTCATCTACACTACACACAAAGAATCCTCACAGATCCCCAAGGCCATCAGCTTAACCGAGGAATGGAGAAAGAACAGGAAAAGGCAACTAACTGGGGGACGAGGAAGCGAAATTCATTAAAAATTAAGATGTAAATCAAACCAACTGTAAGCTTTAAATTTTCACCTAATAAAAAGTACAGTGAAAAACTTAAGGCAGTATTGGTGAGCCAAGAGAAACAAACACTTGCTACAAATTATTAGCACTAACAGCCTATGACTAACCGTCTTCACCTTGAGTCCATAAGCATCTATCAGAAGCCTCATTTCAAGGTTGCTTCCAAACTGCCTGTAAGCTCAGTGCTGCTCAAACAAGCCAAAGCGAGTCACAGAAAATGGCTGAAATGTAAGAAGTTATTTTCCTGAAAAACACAGATCTATTTTAGAAAAAGGCAGACTCTTTAGGAGTGGAACAGAGAAACCGGTCAGTGCGATGCTATACTTCTTATATTGCAGTTTTCCTATGTGGCTCTACTTGCTCCTAGAACGACTTTATAAGCCAAGTGTCTTTATTTCCATTTTACAGAGAATTAACTCAAGACACAGAGTTATTGAAATTTGTTACTGTATTGGTGATACAAACCTACAAAACCTGTCACGACAATTTGACTCCTAGATACTACAAACTGCTTTCAAATCAGATAATGTGCAGGCCCTTTCTTCCCACTTCCAGGAGTGTAGCTTCCCGGGCAAGCAGGTAAGCATTGTGGCAAGAACATACAAACTGTCATCTGTCTTTGGCCACATTACACACAGCATCCAATCTACTATGTAATTGCCTCTTGATCTAACAGTTCTAAACTATTCTTTATTTCATAATACAGCCTACTATGCAGGGAACAGACAGCGGGCAGTCAGAATATGGAGTCAATCCTTCTAATGGAGAACTGCCACTGGTATCCAAATGGAAGAAAATAGGTGCTAGAATCTAAGAAATCCTGGGTGTGCTGGTGCACGCCTTTAATCTTAGCAAGTGTGAGGCAGAGGCAGGTGGATCTCTGAGGTTGAGGTCATCCTGGTCTACAGAGCAAGTTCCAGGACAGCTAGGACTATAAAGAGAAACCCTATGGGAAGCAAGGATTGAGAAAGAAAGAAAAAAAATACAAGAAATACTAAAATAATCCCACGAATTTATAAGAAGTACCTGACACTAAAAAAAGACTATTGGTTTATAAGCATACAAAACTTTTTTGACTCAGTATTAGAGACTGAAGGGAGGCTATATTGTTGCTAGCTAAATTCCAATCTCCTCAATTCCTGACCTAATGGAGACAATTGCTCCAACTCTCACCTACACTTACTCTGTGGGGCTGATGGGTACTCTGGACCCACCTGCCCCACTCTACAGTGGAAGAGTGGAATGTAAAAGCAATTCTCTCAGGAAAATGGGTAAAAGGTGACAGTAGAACACAGGGAGGAGGGATCTGGGTCTTCCAGTAGTAGTCCTGTCCCCAGCCTATGAGGTAGTGTCATTTGTATTCAAAATAGGTTTTTCCTTAGTTAAACCTCTCTGGAAATTCCCATGTGTAGAGATTTAAAATCATGTTGACAATTATCTATATTGTATGTGGTGCCTAGAATTTGTATCAATCTTGATGAGGTAGGGTGGGCATTAGTGATTTTAAAAAATGCCTGAACTATTTTTTAATATCTAGCTAACAACCATAATATATATTTCCTAAAAGCAGTAAATGGAAATGACTGGTATTTGATAATAATTCAGTGAGTTCTGCACAGTTTTATCATATAAGCAATGCAGACCTTGAGTCATGTAAATCAGATCCATACTCACTTGCTAGAAGCAGACAGGAAAGCGCAACTAAATGCAGCTGCTGAACGGAGATGTCATAGCGGTCCATGAACAGGTCCAGCAGGTAGACAGCGAGATGTCGGGCAGAAGGGCAGAGCGTGAAGCGATTGCTCACAATGGCAATCAAATCGGCAAAATACCGCCTGAGATTCAGCTGAGGAGACTGGCCCTTGTAGGAAGGCAGCTTCAGCTCCTAGATCAAAAGGAAGAATATTTAATCTATACACATATCGTCATAATATCCAGACTTAACAAGAGCTTAACGACACGCTTTGCTTGAAAGGAATGCAGAAATAAAGTTGAGTGGAGGTGTATGGCTTTAAGAAAAATACATAGCCAACATCACTGCAAACACTCTTCCTCCAAGGAGGTGAAAGCTTTGGTTGAAGGGAACGGACTGGTGAGTAGGCTTCTGGAACTGTGCAGACCGTACACCTGCTGGGCTGGGGAGATCAATGTAACGTGGACACATACAGAGAAAAAACAAAGAAACCAATAAGCACTTAAATAGATCCTCAACATCTTTAATCATTAAGAAAATGCAAAACCCAAACCACAAGCTACCATTTCATACCCATTTAGAGTGATACTATCAACAACCCTATCCCCAAAAAGCCCTAAACAAAGGGAAATTAACAGGCATTGAGAAGGCTATGGGGAAACTAGAATCCTTGCCCACTAACTGTAAAGTAAAATGAGGTAACTGCTAAACACAACAGTCCGGTAGTTTTCAAAAAAACCACCCTATGATTCCACATTTCTACTTTTAATCACATATTCCAAATATTTGAAAGTAGAGAGATAGGTAGGCATTTGTACAGCCATGTCCATAACACCATTACCCACAATGAGCAAAAAGTGGAACTAACAACCCAAATGTGCATGAGCAGATATATGGTCACACACACTATTTGGCTTTCAAACTGTGACATATGCTGCAAGGGTGAATATTGGAAATTATAGCTATGTCACACAAAAGGATAACTATTATGTTAATATGATCTCATTTACATGAAATATTTGCTCAAAGTCATAGAGGCTCAAAGTGGAATAGTGGTTACTGGGGTAGGTGCCTGAGAACTGGGAAGTTTAGTTTAGAAAGCTGAAAACAATAACTTATATAGCCAGGGATAAACAGTGGAAATTGTCTCAAAGGAATTAGAATGCAGATATCATACAATAAATACACTGTTGAGAACACCAAAGACCACCTAGCTTGGCCACAGGGAGTTCTAGAAAAGGGGCCTGAATATTACCTTAAAAGACAAACTGGGGATCATACCTGGAAAATATTGGTAGGCTTTATTTTTAACTATGTTAATCTTACCATTAGTAACAACAGCCTGGAACCCAGGGCCATCAGTGAGATTTTATTCTTACTGCTATTACTGTGTAAGTCATGGTATTTGTGGATAGGGACACAAGCCACGGTGCACACATGGAGATGAGAGGTCAGCTTTGTAGAGTTGGTTTTCTCCTTCCATCTTTAAGTGAACTCAGTGGTAAAGCCTGGATCACCAGTACCTTTACCTGCTGAGCTACGTCCCCAGCCTCAACAGAAGAGTTGAAATAACATGAACAACACGATTCATTTGTTTTCTTCAGTGGGAGAGTACAAGTGCTTATCAGAAGACTGTCAGAACCTGTTGTCCTTTGGAAGGTATAGAAAAGAAGCTACACTTTCCCTGCTATCAGTTTATCCCTGCTACAAGTTTCCTCTGCTATCTTTCTCAGTGCCTTAGAATGGAACACCCTAGCTCCAGAGGATCAAATCAGGAGGACCAAAGCACAGGGAAGCCAAATGCACCACCTAAAGTCTCCTCTCTAGTCAGTTTGGAAATGAAGGCCTATAAGAAACTACCAAGTATAACTACAAATAACTCCTTAGACGGATATTTTCTTATGTTTCCATTTGTCTTTATAGCTCCTCAAATGCTCTCCAGAGAGTTACAAGACTGGAAGATGGGGCAGAATGATAAGAAGAGAAGACAGGCACTTAAAGGGGACAGATGGTTGGTAAGTCTTTTTGAGTGGGAAACCGTATTTACAAGAATAGCCCAGTTGGTGTTCATTATATCTAGCTTCTTCCCAGTCAGTACAATGTTGGGCACATCAACTATTTCTTTACATTTTGGTGCGTCTAAACCTAGACCATCTTTCACAGCAGATGAATGGCAACTGCCCTGGGGAAGTGTTACATTCAGATGCCTTCAACTTATAAAACAGACTGTTGGAGTCTATACAGGCAAGGGCCATGCTGGTGACACATTACTGCTCTAACACCTTGCATATACTAAGTACTAAGCACACTGCACAAACAAATGATCAAACCACTGATTAATGGCTGACTAGCATTTTTAATGAGATAAGTTTCTTTAACTTCCTTGACTCCAGTACACTACAAATAGTGATCTCTCCAGTTGTGAAGTTCAAGCCCTACTAATTAATGCAAATCCTTTATAAAATGTGTTACTATTGCCTGAAATCAAGACCATTGTCTAAACTGAGCTTAAAGACAACATAAAGACAACTCCAAGTAGTTTGCAACAGGTGGCCTGAGACAGGCTTCAGAAGCGATCCTCCATATCCACCTGACTACAGGGCTGCCCGATTCCCTGGCTCCTTCAGAGACTGCATAAGCATGCAACAAACCCTAACTTATTAAAAAAGAAAATTCTACTTCTAAGATCACCTGCAAAACTATTTCAGACAATTACTTATGATTAAAACTACCTACATATAAAATATTAGAACTAAAAATCACAGGGATCATCAATGAAAAAAATCTTTAAACTGTTTCATTCACACACACACAAAGTATCATTTATACCAAGTAACTAGTTTTGCTACACACTAGAGAGATAAAAAGACTGACACTTAGAAAACTCAAATATACCTCCCAAAAATCAAAGTGAATTGGGATAACTTTTCCCTCTAACATTCCAAAGAACCTTTCCATAGTCGAAACATTTATGTAAAGCAATCTCATAGGGCTCTGGGATGTACCCAGGTAAGAGACTGAATGTCAGGATTAGTGAAGAACTTTTGGAAATTTCAAGCTGGGAGGGGCATACAATTTGAACAACTTAAGCCAAGATTCAATGTCCTAATCTGCTTAATTTAGTCATATACATCAGATACAAACCTATTATCATTCTAAAACTCTTAAACCTCAAACTACACGACCTTATTAAAGAGTCAGCTGTTTTGATTCTTTCCCAGTTTTCATCCAAGGAGAAACTGACTTAGGTTGAAGGTGAAACTGAGTTAGGTTGATCTTTCTGGATCTTTCCTCTGGCTGTCAGAGAAGCAGGGCTATCTCATATATCTGACTTAGGACACTCATCCTGAAATCATTACTTAGATAAGAATACACAAGCTTTGGTCCAAAAAGAGTGTATTCTTTTTTCAGTGTTTATTAAGTACATTGTGTCTACTTTCTACACTTGACATTAGCAAAGGGTAGCTCCTTCTACCGTAAAGCTTTTTGACTAGCCTCACTCTGAAGGACCAAGTAACAGTAAGTTAGCACATGGCTCGTACACTGTTCGAAGTTCCTGCACAGTACATACTTAACAGATTTCACAATCACCCCATAAGAAAACATTCTGTCCTTGTTATTTCTCCTTTTACAGATGAGGAAACTGAGAAACAGAAAATTAAGTTGTCCGAAGTCTCACAGCAGGTTTGGGGAAAGGCTGGAGAACTGAGTTAAGTTCGGGGCTTACAACAGCTATGAAGCAAGGGCGCTGCTCTCTGGGTACAAATTCATATTCTCTCTCTCTCTCTCTCTCTCTCTCTCTCTCTCTCTCTCTCTCTCTCTCTCTCTCTCTCACACACACACACACACACACACACACACACACACACACACACGCCCCGCATGGTCCACCTGGCAACATCGGACCATCATCCACCTTCCTTCTCCCAACTACCACGCCTCAGTCCTCTCCACATTTACAGGTTCTTCTGATGCAGCCCAAGGAAGGAAGAAGTTAATTAACTTTGACAAACAAGCAAACTCGCCTTCTCTGGCCTGGAAAGAGTAAAGAACCTGACTGGCCTTTCCAGAAAGCACAAGAGCCGGGATGGGAAGGTCGGGTCTAGGAGGGTTACCTTGTACCGAAGTGCCTGGTGAATATCCGCAGCCAGCTGTCCTCGCCACCACTGCCCCTCCAACTCCATGGAAGCCGGAGGCGCGCCCGGCCAGACGCAGCAACTTCAGTCTGGAAGACACGCCCCAGACGCGGTCACCGCCAGCAACTCCCCCCAAGTCCCCCTCGACCCTCCGCGCCCCCTCCTCCAGGTATGTGATCTCAGATCACCGCGCGCGGCTGCTCATCTTCACCTGACCCGACCCCAAGCCATCTTCCAATGCCAGCAAGGCCCGATCTACCCAGTCGGGAGGTGCGGGCTTAATCTGTAATCGCCCGCTGCGTGAGGTGCAGAAAAGTGCGAGCTCCAAAAGCTCGGGGGGGGGGGGGGGCGGTCGGCCTCCGGTTCTTTGAGTCCTGGGTTCGAACTCAGCCGGTCACACTAAGGTGCGGGAGTCCTGACACTGTCAGGACGCCGCCGGGATGGAGGGTGACCAACGCGTGAGGCCAGGTCCACACCGACCGCCCAGCACGCTCCATTACCCGGGGGGTCTGAGGTGCATCCGCTGCGGGGTGGCCCGGGAGCGGGGAACAAAAGGCCGGGCGGCTGGCCGGCCGTGCTCCGCGCCTCGCCTCCCCTCGCTGCCCTCCCACAGGCCTGGCCGGCCCACGCGGGTTCTTACCCGGAACCGCGGCCCTTACAGCCCCAGCCCGGCCGGCGTGCACGGGGCGCCTGCAGCGTTCATGCCGCGGACCGTCGGCCGCAAAGCCCCCGCCTCAGCTAGGGCCCAGCACCCGGGCGCTCGCGCCGCCCATTGTTAAAGGACCGGCAGGCGGCTCGCCGTACAAAGCCAGCGCCGGGGCACAGGCCGCCCGGCGCTGCCAATCCGCTCTCGCGATACAGCGGGGTCGCGCCGCACCGTCCAATCGGCGGCCGGGCCGAGCCAGGTGCGAGTCCGTCTCCGCTGCCCCCGCCCGGTGCCGGGCAGTCTCGCTCTGCAGCCCCAGAGTCTTGTTGGTGCCCGAGGGCCGCTCACCTGCCGAGAATCTTCGACGGTTCCCGGGTGCGGGCAAAGAAAACTGCGATGCCTCAGCCCTGAGATTAAAACTTGGCAGCGCGCATCTGGGCCGCTCTCTCACTTCCGAGGGGCTGCTCTCCGGGATGACCCCCTCAACCCCAAGCCTTCCAAATGGGCTTTACCAGCCCCTTTGGTTGTCAAGTTCTGTTCCAGTCTCTCTAAACCCAGTACTCTTACCTCTTCTAACTCAGCTCTCCTTGTTGCTTTCGCTTCAGCGATTCACTCGAGTTGTGACTGGAATTAACATCTTTAGCAACCTGGCTTGTCAAATCCATAATGGATGTAATTGACCATCTGTGGTGGTCAATGAAGAAGCCCTAAACGGTGGGAACACTCCAGCGTCAATTGAGGTGACGCTGGAGCAGGAATGTGAGTAACAGAAACCCCATCAACTGTATTTGAGACTGTCTGGAGGACCACCACGAAAGTAGTAGTGGGTTCCTTCAAATTTCTAGAGACTGTAGAACGACTTCTTTCAATATTTAAACATAAATCATGAGACCTCACCCCTTACTTTGAATGTTTTGTTTAGAAAGAGGAAGAGTGACAAAGGGCTACTACAAAAAAGATGAGTGCACACGGCGGCGGGAGCATGACTTATCACACTGGTATTTGCATACATCCCGGAAGGACTGCTGCAGACCCCTGTGTGGCAATGTTACACAATGCCTAGGGAGAGCAGGGATTCAGGAACTGATGGGAAGAATATGGAAGCATGCATGCAAAGGAAAGTTGGCAGAACCCAGCCTAGCCCGGTGAATTTCGGGAAGAGGCTATTAGCAGAGGAGGAGGACATTATCTGGCTAAAATTTCCATGTCATTTATGGTATTTAAATAATACCCACGTTCTCAGTTTCCAATTCATGACTACTAAGCTGCTTTATGGTAATAATTTGGCTTCCAAATGATTTAAGAGTCCAGGCCTTTCTTAAGAACTTTTTCAGAAAAGTGGGTCACAGACTGTAATTGTCTATGCGATCCTGTAATAAGCAGGTTGTCCTACAGTCTCTACTTTGAAGACGTTGTTTACCGGGAGATACTGGTTCAGAAATCATGTATTATTCTAGACGTAGATGGCTCATTAGAAGCTGCCAGTATTCATTCTTGTTCATGCCTGTGTATGTCTCTGGTGGTCTTAGAGTCTACATTCCTAAGAGGAATTTCAGTCCTACTATTTTTTTCATTCCTTTAAAGTGAACTGGGCAGAAAGCAGTTACTTCAACTATGTGTTCCCATAGTTTACATTCTACTGGGAAGAGAAAGTCATAATAAATGAAAGATAAATCCATACCATGTGGTAACAAGTACCAAGAGGAAAACAAAGTGAAAGGCTAAATAGGTGGACATTGTTTTATGATAGGGAAGCCATGCAAAGGCCTGAGGGGAAGTAAGTGACTGGGTATCTAACTGGTGGATGGGTGTGCCAGACAGAGAGGACAGTAAACACGAAAGGGTTCTCAGAAGACACATTTGGAAGGAAAATGGAGGACAATTTTCGCCTTCAGTAAAGATACTCCAGACTTCAAAAGTGACTAGCAAAGGTTTCAAAGTAAACTGGGCAAGGCACCCAAACAATAGAGGATGGAACCTCCAGTCAAGTTGCAAGGGATGAGGGTGGGACCAGCTTTTGTAACTCCGGGAACTTCAGGCAGTAGGAATTTGCCATGCCATGCTCTGGCAGCAAAGGCACTAACATTGGAACACGCAGGGGAGATGATTATCCATGAAGCTCTCTATACTTGATGCACGTGTTTATCAAACACTGTGTGCTGAGAACTAGGGGAGAGAGTCAGCAGTACAATGCTTGCCCAACGAACCCGAGTCCGTCTTCAAGCTATGATACCACAAAACCTTGTAAACAGAGTACACAGAAGGTATTTAAAAAAAATTTTTTTAAAGAAAGCCATTGCTTTTTGTCAAAGAAAACACTTTAAAACAAATGCAAGCAAAAGGCAAAACATCCAACATAAAACTATGCATACTAGCCCATTCCTTTCTCCACTTCTTTCGGAGGTGGCCTTTCCTAGAGGCACCACTATTGCTGTGTATTTTGTTGTATCTTCCCAGAAGTGTACAGGTATTTATAGCAGCACACACGTGTAGCCCGCTTGCCTCATTTTGTGTAAAATGGTAGCTTATTCTGAGGTGCACCTCGTTTTTGCCATGCATCCTAGTTGAGTGAGCGTTCTGCAGTGGAACATCTGGGGCTCTTCTCTTCTCAGAAGCCCCGAGCCTTGTTCTTGATATGTTTCCTTGGTATAAATCTATACCTGGGCACTATTTACATCACTGCAAGCACATTCACACACCGTCTCTTTGCCTGCCTCACCATCATCTCCCATGTAGATTTGGATAGGCCCATTAACTGCTCTTACTGCCATGACACCTGTCATCATTCTCTAAAATATTTGACACTTGGCACTCAGAGCTGTTGAGAAAAGGTAGACCACACCTGTAATGAACTGTATCTGAAAGAGCCTACATCATATTTCCAAGCCACTGTGGTGCAGAACGTTAAGGAGAAGTCTCTATGCTAGTCTCAGAAACCGGGATCAAAATCTGCAGATATTTATAATACATAATTTACCAGGGAGTTAATCTAAATTAAAAATTTACATACATCTTTACCTCTGGTTAAAATTGACATAGATTCTTATTATGAATATGTGACTGGACCACAGAGTAACCAGTGATCAGACATCCTGGATATACCCTGGATATTCGTGGGAAGGCAGTGCTTGGAGAATATTGGACTTGGTAAGCTGAGTAAAGCAGACTGCCCTTCTGAACGTGGGTAGTTCTCACCTAGGCAGCTGGAGGTCTGAGCAGAGTTAAAAGACTGCCCTCCCTCAATTGAGTAATAGGGATTGGGGATTTCCTCCTGCTTAATTTCTTTAAGCTGGGACATAGTTCTTTTCTGGCTTTTAAACTCAAACTAAAACAGGCTTTTCTTCCATCTTGAGCCTGCTGGCTTTCAGACTAGTATATGACCTCAGGGTTCCCTCTGAGAAATTTTCATCTGGAACTGTACCAGAGCTAGCATCTAATGGCATGTACCCATGTCTCATTAGTACTGATGACATTCTGAAAGGGTGGTCTCTCGTTCAACAGGGAATCGCAGTTGCTTGGGTGCTTGTTGAAAATAATGTCACTCTCCTCTCAGAGGTTCTGATTGAGGAAGGCTTGGGTGGATCTAGGAGTCTTCATTTTAATAAGACTCTCCAGATGGCTCAGATGGAGGGGTCCTGACCTCTACTATGTGAGCAGCATGAAGCAGGCCAGAATTGCTTCTTTTCCAGAATGAGATCTAATGTGGACTGCGGTACATAAAGCAGCCAGACTACGTGAAGACTCTTCCAGAAGAGGTGTGTTGGTAAGGAGGTCAGCAAAGGCTAGGGACAGGGTGCTGATGTGGTCTCCATAGTACTCAGCTCTATATAGGAATCCAAATGAAGCCCAGCATTGATGAACTTGAGAATAAGCAGCAAAATCTCAAGGCATCAGGAAGGCTTGGGTCTAGGAGACGGTGGTACTCTTTGCCTTTTCCCATCTTTTGTTTTACTGATGTCGGGCTAAGGAAGCCAAATAGACCCACACAGATAGGATGTTGTTTGGGTATGGATGAATGTACACAGCTAAAGCAAATTCCGTCTGGGGAAATTCAGAAGAGTGAATTCCAGTCTGGTACACAGCATCAACGACTGCCTGAACATCTGTGTAGGGCATCTGGATGGGAAATCCTGTGACCTGGATCAAGGTTAGAACAACACAAAGGTGGGTTACAGTCTTGGAAGTAGTCCGGAATTATCCTAAGCAGAAAGATCACAGAGACCTTAGTGGTGTGGCAGTTGTAACAGTAATTGTCTTTTGTTGTTGAGTGACTGTGATATTCTAGATACAGCATTAAATAAGTCACAGACAACCGTATGAGTTAAGTTCTGTCATCACCCCTGCTCTACAGACTGGAGCACAACCAGGGCTCTTTGATGCCAGAATGTGTGTAGTTGACACAGCACAAACTTGGACCCTCTAAATAACAAACTGCCAAGAAGGAAATGTTGGGGTCCTACACGGGAGGGATTTAAATGGAAATCTGAGGGGTTTATTTAACACCAATTATGTTTCTATGGAGTCGATACTGTGGGATAGTAGTGAAGGAACGAGGAATGTGGGTCTAAGTAGTGTTACATAATAGGACGCAGATGACAGCCACGAACCCCTCAGTCAGTCTTCCATTGCTTCCTGCAGGAGGATTTTTCTCACCCTTAAATCTCCTCACTTGCTTTTCCCATGTGCTGTCGTTTTTTTGAGCTCGCCTAACAAGATTTCATCATTAAAAGTTTCTGATCTGCCACTGTAGCACAGATCTTTGAGTGCACTTGACTGTATCTCTACTGTTCACTGCCTAAGTCCTGGCCCAGAACAGAAGCAATGTTTAGCAATTGTTTACTAATTACTAGAAGTTGAGTGCAATGCTAAGTATAAACTCATTTAATCCACACTACAACCATAAAACAACTAATTTTTACCCCCGTTTTCCAATGGGGTAAAAGGCAGAGATGGGTTAGGTGACTTGACTTCTGTTAAAACCAGTAAATGGTCAAAATAAGATCTGACTACAGGCTGCAGGGTTCAATCTTAATCTGCTCTTGACCTATGTCAATAGGTCAATACCTACTAGTCTGGTATTTTACATAGACACTCCAAGCTTGAAACCTTGGCTTATATTTAACTATATTTTATTTATCTCTCTAATTCCAAATTCTATT